TAAACCAAATTCAACACTTACAAACAAGTGGAAATGCCTAACTTCTAAGTAACTTGTAAAGCAAGGTACACCAATGTATGACCTAAAAATGAAATACCAGCATATTAAGCAAGTTATAAACATATAGCAACACTCACAAGATGCATATGGGATCATTAGGAATCATTTCCCAAAGAAACTAGGTCAAACTAGCTTGTATGAACACCTTCAAAGGTGGCTTGAATTGCAAGGTTCACCAAAAATAGAAGGATGGCCCAATAAATTCCAAATAAAATGCACAAAGCAACCAAGTCCAATGGAAAACAGAAGCCAAAGTTTCAAAGCCAAACTCAATTTTAGGCATCACCTAATAATTTGATTAACAAGGGTGCTCCACCTTTTTGAGTACTAATCGAGGGTTAAAAAAAAAACAACTCAAAGTCAAACATAAAATGATCCAACATGAACCAAAATCAACCTCAAAGGTACTTCAATCCATCCTCTAAATGGAGAAGAAACCTTATTCATAGGTGATGTGAATTGGTGGTTCAAATGTACATGATCAAACAAAGGCAACATCAAAAACACTTCCAATTGCAAAATTAAAATAAAATTTCAAAATAAAACAAAATCAGAAACTAAAATTATGGAAAATTAATTACGGTCTCAAACCAATAATAAAATATTTTTGTAGAATTTTTGGATGATCAGAAGTATTTTTAATAATTAAAAATGAAAACAGAAAGAAAAATAAAATAAAATAATAAAGAAGCCATGGGAAGTGTATTAGCAATTCCCAAAAATAACTGAAAACAATGCAAAACGTGATTGGGCTGCAAACAGAGGGGGCGGGAATATCACTTTAAGCTCAACTGATCCAAGGATCAGATTTAAGTGAAACGATGCATTTCACTTAAGTGACGTGGGGTCAAACAAAAACGTGGCAAGGTCAAGCAAATCAGGAGGTAACACGCCATCAAGTCAAATGGTCATCCCAGACCAACTCAGCTTAGACCTGAGAATGGACCAGACGCCGGAGCTAGGGCTTCGACCGTCTTCTCCAGCCACATCGTCGGAGCTCAGTCCACGATTCTCAACAGAAATGGCCAAAAATGGTACCAATCGAAAGGTCTTGCTACAAGGATCTCAAATCCACAAATCAATCAATCAAAATGTTCCAAAATAAAGAGAATCGAAGGATTGAAAATCAAACATGTCATTTGAAAATATGATCAAACAAGAACAACAATGGATCAAACATGGCCTACTCAACGTAGGGCTTTAGATGCAACCAACATGAGCTTAGATACGTGCCTAGAATGAGAGAAAAATGGAAGAGAAGCTTACTGAATGGAGCAACCCCGTTGGTTCTTCAGATGCGTGCAAGCTTGACTTTCTTCCTTCCAATCCACTCCTTATGCTCTCAGGAAGAGGATGCAAGCTTCAGTTGCAGTTGATTTGAGGTGAAAACTCAGATTTGAAAATGAAATATGTTTGGAAATTTTGAAATTCTCTCTGCTCTATCCAGCTGCAATTCTCTCTTCTGATGATTAGGGCAAACAAAACAGCTTTTATATGATGGGTATTGACACTCCATGCAGGCCCATGCTACTTCATTTAAGTGATTGGAAAAAAATGGCCAAAAAAATCAAGTTTCACATACACACGGGTTTTTCACTTTTTACACCACATGAGCTCACCAATTGAAAGTGCATGAAATTTATAATTCAGCTGAATTGGTTTGGGCTTTGTGAATGCTCCACACCTCAAGTTTGAAATCAAAATTTTTTAAGGAAGAAACTTGAAAATGAGGCATCTCATGGCATTTCATGTTGGTCCAATTGTGGCAAGTCTCTTTATGTTCATGTAAAGGTGTGAAATGTCTCAAAATAAGTGACAAATATGACCTATAATGTACCAATTTCATGCCATGACCAAAAGTCAAGATTTCGCTCTAAAAGTCTTCCACATGGCCATGTAATTCAACAATCCAAATGAATTTTGAGTTCAATGATGTAAACAAGACTCTTAGGTAAAATTTTCATGTGGATTGGAAATGCATTTGAGGTACATAAGTCCATGAAATTGACCATTGAACAAGATGACCTATAATGAACTTTTCCAAAAATACCCTTGCCTTGAAAAGTCCATAACTTGAGATTTACAAATGATATTAAGGACTTCTAGGACTTTTTGGAAAGCTAAGACCATGAGGAACAACTTTAATGTTCACTTGAAGTTGGGGGGGGGGGGGAAACTTGCTTCTAGGTCAAAAAAGCCTTGGAAGTGAGTTGACTTTTTGTTGACCAGAATTCTATTCATCTGAGACCCCTAACTTGTTGGCATCATAACTTGAGATGTACAAACTCAATGGATGAGTTATTGTACTCAAAAGAAAGCTAAGAACATGCCTTACAAGTCTCATGCTTTCATGAAAATGAGATTAAGCTTGAAACATAGGTGAAAATGGCCTTGAAGTTGGGCACTAAAGAAGGAGATTTTACATTGAAATCATCTGAAACCCTAATTTAGTAACTTTTTCCACTCTTGATTCCTATTGATTTGATTTTGTCATGATATCTTAGATGCTTCAAAATTACTTCCCATGGCTTGTGTGACTTGAAGACCAGTTTGGAAACCTCTCAAGTCCACAGTTGACCTTGAGTTGACCAGATGAAACCCTAACTCCAAGTTCTTTGACTAAGCCTCTTGCAGATGAATTGAATGGTCAACAAACTCCAAAAAGACCTCTAATGTGTACAATGAACTTCAAAACCAAGTATTGTCCAAATAAAAGACCTCGTGAACTCCTGGTGATCCTTTTATGAGCCTCTGATGACCCTCAAGATAGGAGGTAACAACTTCACACCAATGTCTCCCTTCAAAGGGCTTTAAAACTTCTCCATGATGATGAAACCCCTGATGATTTGCACAAATACCTCTTTCTTGAGCTTGAAACCAAAGAGACCCTCCTTTGAATGGCACAAGATACCTCTTAATCCCATGTAAAGAAAAATGTTATGCAAATGCAAATGTTAAAATGCAATGAAACACAAGCCAAGTTAAGAAGAAAAGGTTGGTCAAATTTTGGGGTACAACAACAGGGAAGAACTCGTTCGACCATGGAACACCGAGAAAGCTCAAATAATATTATAGCCAAGGCCTTAACCGTCAACAGGCTCCGTCGACACGACAAGCATAACGCATCAACCATAAGTGGGCGCCCAGATACAAGCGCTGCATACCAAAAGAAATCAAGGCATGCTTTCGCTTATGAACGAGCAAAACCCATGCCCAATGGCAATCCCTCAACCGAGCCTGTCGTCGACCAAGTACCACGCCAAACAGAACACCCAGCTCGCGATGGGAAGTTCACGCTGCGAACTCAGGCCACAAACGCGACTTGAACTCTACCTCATGCCTAGAAGCTACCCAGGTCTTTCGACCAATTTCCCTCACTGTTGAACATATCTTGTCGAGCAAACCCCGAAACAACAAATCCTGTATTAAAGTAGCCCTTATGACGGGCATGAATCTCGAGCAACATTTTGACGCTTAGCGAAAATAAAGCAAAGTAAAGACATGCATGAAAATGAATCATACAGAACCGGCCACATTCGCCAAAAATAAACATTACAATAAAGACGGCAACAAGGACTATGAATGTACGTGTTACACTACCAAAAGGCCGAACCCCATACAAAAAATAAGTTACAAAAACATGGCGCGTATGGAGAAAGTACAAATAAAAGAAAAATCACTCATCCGTCTGCTGAGGCTCTTCACGGGCAGCTTGCGGATGTTCCTCGCTGATCTGAAGAAAGTTGAGGATGACGATCCTACCGCCCACAACACTATGGAAAAACTCGACTTCTTCGATGGACAATTTGACCCCAAAATTCACTATCTTCAGCTGCTTGAAAAAAAATGTAATTTAATTTATAAAAAAAAAATACCGATATATTGAATTTTAAGGAATTTATCCAAACTTTCAAACTTTTCAAAACCATCATTCAATATATAAATGCATCATGAACTTTCCAAAACCAACGTTCAATATATATAATGTATCATGAACAAAATCTAATTCATATTCAAATTGAGGATATAATGTATCATGAACAAAATTTAATTCATATTCAAATTGAGGATTATCATCTCTTTCAATTTTCTTTCGTATTTCTTCTAGTCAAAGTCTTTTCTTTATTTTATTTTCAAATTCACAAACAATACTTTAGAGTGTAAAGAAGAGATATCATTAAAGGGGATCGGCACATTTTTCACCTATCCCTGGTATACTTCTCAATAAAACATCTCATCTCAACTTTTTTCTATCAAAAGATCAACTTTTTTCTTTCAGAAGTGCAATTCTAAAACTACAATGGATGAATTTTTAAAAAGAGAAAAGAAATTTGTTACAAAATAAGACCAAGATCAATTATAATTAAATCATTTTAGTAAAAATTATATTCGATAATTTTTTTAAAAATAAAATTAATGTCACATTATAAAAAGTATTTATTTCTAAAATAAGTATTATTGTTTCCAATGCATTTATAAATTTAACCCTACAATTGTATTCTTCATTAATACTCTTGTTTATCTCATTTTACATTAATAATAATTAAAATTCATAAATAGTTAATAATAATAATAATTTAATGAAATTGATATTCTCTTTTCATTTATCATATTTTCTTAATATATACAAAAATATATAATTTAATGAAAACGTTTACTATGACATTTATTTTATGACATATATGTAATAGTAAACAAATACAATAATTTATATTCTAATTAAAAAAAGTAACACAATTATATAAATATCAAAATTACTGAATAAATTTTAGATGAAATGACAAACGAGAGTTTTTAACTTAACCAAAGTCCTGAAGAATTCCACCATGGTAAGAGGGACTAATCATTAAGCAAAAAAATTTGCGAAATATCTACGTAAGATGAAAAGAAACTTATTTATTATATGACAAAAATAAATAATTTGAAACTAATCTTAAACATCATTTAGTCTTACTTGGCGATGTTGATAAATCTGTGCCGACTTCATTTGTCTTTCTAAAGATGTGAACATGGAAGGTCATTTTAGTTCTAAGAATGAGTTCAAAGTTGCAAACATCACCAACTTTCAAACTATTGTCCATTGAGAATTCCTTCCATCCACGTGTGAGTTCAAACTTTAGCTGTGTAGCGAACTTCCTGATTGAGTACCTTGCACACCAAACTAATCCTCGATCCAACACCTGAAAATAAATATATCCTCTTTTCTTATCCAAATCAAAGTGCTCCTTACCAAATTTAGCTGGTATAGTCTGCCAAAGAAAAGTAAAGAAAAATGTTACTAATAGAAAGAAAGAAAAGAAAAAGATTATTGAACTTATTGTTTATTCTATAAAGTATAAACAATAACAATATATATACAAAAGAATATTACACTAACTTGTTGGTGCAAAATTATTTGTAAATGTTTCTTTGTATAACTTACCAGCTGAAAACGGCTTTCAACATATGATGCACGCATGACAAGAACAAAAGATGGATTACATCTTTTGAATGATTTTGCTCTTTCAAGAGTTTTATTCGCATGTTTTTCTGCAAAATTGGAACATCATAGGATACATATTTCATAGTCATTTTCATGAATTGAAGGGAACAAAAACTAATATATCATGAATTGAGAGAACAAAAACTAATATTTTATGCCATAATGAAGAGAAAAAAACAACTTTTACCTTTATGTTTTTTGTGAGTATGATCCACAACTTCTTCACTGTTAAAAATCTTTTCAGATTTGATTCTTTTGAGAGGGTAGTTTATCTCTAAAGCAGTCTTATTGAAGATCTGTACCTCAAAATGGGAAGTGCTTTCATATCTGAAAACTATAAGATGGTAATAAGATAGAGAATGAAACTCAGCAAATTCTTTCCAACCATTTCCAAACCATATTTTGCCATCACGTTTTACCAAATTTATTTTCCACTGTTCACCAATTGGAGTGTTTAGATAGACATCTTTTGGTAAACCTTTTCCATATTTCTCCACAAACTTATTTGGAATGCTCTGTCATCAACGAATAACACCAGATTAATATGCATGAATAATAGAACCCATAAAAAGTAGTTCATAAAAAAATAAAATATATAGGTGAAAGGCATACAAATTTTTTATGATGAAAGCTTTGAGTAAGTGTGAAGTGGATTCGTTCCACCAGAGGAATTTCACTAGCCATGAGCTTGCTCATACAATGGTTTTTCCACATAATAGGATATATACTCTACTGATCTACTCTCTGTCTGTATTCATCAAAGCTCGAGTTTCTTGGAATAGTAACCGAAAATCACATTAAATCTGTGTATTTAATTTCTTTTCTAAAAAAATAAATAAGATTCTTTTTAGGCTTAAAGCTCTTTAATATTCTGCTAGATTTGAAATTATTAACTTTACTATTTCTATATTTTCATATTTTTTATACAAATTAACTTTACAATTTCTATATTTTCACATTTCTCATACAGGGATTATAACTTTGATATTTGTTCTAATTAGGGTTGAAAATAAGTCGAGTCGAACTCACCTCACTTCGGCTCGCCTCGTTAAGAATTGGTTCGAGTTCGAGTTCGACACGAATTTATTTTTAAACTCAAACTCAACTCGTTATAAGTTCACAAACAGTTCGGTTCAACTCGTTAGGTTCATCTCATTAGGTTCATCTCAAATGATTCACGGACTTAAAAACTATTTTTTTAAATATATATATTTTTTAGTATATTTGACATTTTAAATAAATATATATTTTTAAAATAAAATATTAAAATAAAATAAAAGTTATCATATTAAAATTTAACTTTATCTTCGAAATCTACTAATTCAAAACCTACACAACTTTCAAGAGAAATCTACTAATTCAAAACCTATAAAATATTAAAAACTACTAAATTGAAGATTAAATTTGTCTAAGATTTGGAGTAAATATTTAAACCTAATCTTAAAGACAGTATAATTCTTCTCATATGTAATTGAGTTGACTCATGAACCTAACGAGTCGAACTATGTATAGTTCAAATTCAGCTCATTTAGTTAACGAACTTAATTTTTCGCTCATACTCAACTCATTTGGTTCATGAACCTAGTTCAACGATTTAATTGTCGAATCGAATTCTGAACTATTTTCGAGTTGGTTCGATTTATTGTCAGCCCTAGTTCTAATAGATCTTAGTTTATAGATTATAGATGTTCTTTTTAATCTATTTCCTCCCATTATGATATATAATCAAATTTTACTTTCTAAATTCTTCAAATAAATTATATTATATTTAAGTTATATATTGATAACATATATCAATTATTTAATCAATTTTAAAAATATAACTTGTTTATAAAAAAAAGAGAATAAATAGAGTATAATGTATAGACTATGTTTGGTAAAACTAAATAATAACTGATAGGTGATAGTTGATGACTGATAGCTAATATCAGATAATTGATAGTTTATAACGGATGATTGATAGTTGATAATTTATTTTAGGTTTAAATATGTTACAGGTCTCTATAAATATTCAAAAATCCAATTTTAGTCCTACTAACATTTTTGTTTAAAGAATCATCCTCCTAAATATTTGTGTCCCTAGATTTCGTCCTTACTGTCTATTTCACATAACGGCATCATACGTGGACGTTGACTTGGCTTTCTTTTTAATTATTTCGACCTGTTTGGATTTCCATGTATGCTAGGAAGCAACACATCAGATTGTGAATCCTTAACCTAATTTCAGCAAATCCCATCCATACTTGCTTTTCATTTCTTCAGCCTCGATTTCTTCAGCTTTAGATTGTGGTCCTCTTCTTCTTACTTTTCATTTCTTCAGCCTCGATTTCTCTTCACGCTTTTCTTCAGCTTCCATTTGTCTTCCCCCCTCTTTCAACTCCTTTAAAGTCGTATTCAAGGACAAGTCCTAAGAAACCTGTTAGCATGTCTTCGTCATCTGTGCGAAGCCGTCGTCGAGGAAGAAATTGCGGTTGTGATGCTCGTATAATTTCATATGTGTGCAAGAATGGTCGCAATAAAGGCAGGCTTTTCTAGAGATGTCCTTTTTGGCAGGGTGAAGAAACTTGTGATCTTTTTGTATGGATGAAGATCTTGTCGAAGAAGATGATAATGGTTTTGATCAGGTATAAAATAATAGGATGAAGGAATTGGATATTGTTGATTTGTTGAGAGATATGTATGAAGGTTCGAAGAAGAAGAACACGAAGATGCAAGCGAATTTGAGAGCAGAGGAATGGGCTGGTAAAATCAAACTGATATGCTTTGTATTCTCTGTTATGATTAATGTGTATCAATTTTAAAATGTAGTTGTTGAATTTGGGATTATCAATGTAATGGAATTTTGGATTGATATGCTAAGTAGTTTATGTCATGATATGCTTTGTAATGAAATATTGGATGATCAATGTAATGGAATTGTGGATGTTTAATTTATAAGAATTGTGTTTGATCATTGTGTTTCTGTGTGTTTTTATTAGATTTGTCTTTCAATTATAATTTTTCTTCTAATTGACTCATAACATCTAAATTTTGACATTATAACATCTTAAATTTTGACATGATGTTTCCTTAAATTTAGCCTCATTGTTGGCATTATGTCCCCTAAAAGTTTGGTAACACTTTTGACATCATAATTTGCAAACAAACTGACATGAAATAACTTCATTAAAAATATAGGAATTCAAAATATTCAAAGTCAACACATGGACTTAGTTTGATCCAAAAGGATGACCAAAATTACATGTCATTGTATATCGAGTACAGATGATCATAGGTTAAATCATAGACAAAAAAACATACTTAATCAAAGTCTACAAAAAAACACAGTTATGGTAACATAGCCCAAAAAGAACAAGATCATTCAACTTCTTCAAACTTCATCCTCATTGAGTCAAGCCTTTTTTAATTTCTTTCCAACTTTTTCTTCCCTTTTTTGTTTTTGTTGTTTTGATGTATCATCTTTAGTGAGTACAACTGGATCTTCAGGTTGTTTTCCAGGCCTATTGATGTCTTTTGTTGTTATAGTCTTGAGTTTTTCACTCTTTTTGGTTTGACTCACAGCTCCTAGGACTTTTTTCTTCTTTGGCATCATAGAGTTGACCTAAAAAACATCAATGAATAAACTTGAGTAACTAAATATTGACCTAAAAAACAGCCATGAATAAACATTACCTAACTTACAGGATCACTGAAGGTTGCCTTGACCTTTCCTGGATGTTTAAATGCTTTGGAGGGTTTGACTTTTGGTGCGCCACCAAAGAAGGTCTTCACACCACCATATTTTGAAGGACTTGTGTTTACAGAAGCCTGTTTGATAGGGCTTAAGTCAACTCTAAGAGGTTGAATGTCAAGAACAGTATTTATTCCATTATTGATATCATTGAGAATTTCTTCAAGAACATCTGGATCTATTTCATTAAGGTAGTATGTTCTATCTGTACTTGGTGGTGGTGCAGTATCAGAAGCTCTGGGTTGTGCAGCCTGAGTATTTGTTGGTGGTGGTGCAGTATCAGCATGAGGACTTGGTGGTGGTCGTGCAGCCTGAGCATCTGTTGGTGGTGGTGCAGTATCAGCATGAGGACTTGGTGGTGGTATTGCAGTTTGTGGATCTGTTGGTGGTTGTGCAGTATCAGCATAAGGACTTGGTGGTGGTAGTGCAGTTTGTGGATTTGTTGGTGGTTGAGCAGCATGAGAACCTTGGACTGAAGCCTGACTTAGTCTCTCATTTATCTGGTCTGTAACATGAGGTTGAGAAGTCTTAGCCTTACTTGGTGGCTGACTTTGTGCCTTACTTGGTGGGTGGCTTGGTGCATTGCTTGGTGCCTTGCTTGGTGTCTTGCTTGGTGCCACTTTGACTGTCTTATTCAATGGCCCCTTAGGTCTCCCCTGAAAAATAGTTTACAATTACTCATAACATAGAAACAAGAACAAACAATATACAATTACCCATAAACCACAAGACTAACCTTTGTTAATGTTTCCTTTTGAACATTCCCAGTTTGACTTGCCTGTGTAGGTACCTCATTTGTAGGTACTTTATTTGTTGTTACATCTTGGTTCTTATGTAGAACAGTCTGTTTGTTCTTCTTACATGTTCTAGTGTTATGACCATACTTTAAACATGGCGTACACCTATGAGTAGTATTAGTTCTTTGCCACTTGGTAGCATTGGATTCATCAGGTTCCATTCTTCCAAGTTTTTTTGGCCTCCCTGGGCCTCTTTTGAACATTGCGGGATGTCGCTTGCGCGAAAATAAGGTGTCGGCACAACAGAAGAGTCGCCACCTTTCGTTATTTATCCCTCAGAGCGGGAAAGGAAACGATCGGAAAAACCTGACGAAAAAGGGTAAGACAAGGTCATCGCAACCATTGTCCGGGTTCGGGAGTCGGTTACGTAAGGGGAAGGTATTAGCACCCCTCACGTCCGTCGTACTCGACGGGATCCTCGCTTGTTCGTTTACTTGGACGGGTTGGTTTTATTCTATCTACCTATCAAGGTTGGCTAAAAAAGAAAAGAAAAATGACTCGGCAAAGCGTCGCACTTTATGCCTACGTATTCTCATCAGAGAATGAGAAATCAGAGTCAACGTAGTTCGGCCTACGAAGGGTTATGGGGGAAGGTAGAAGGTTGCTCGCTAGGACGTCGCATCCTATGCCTACGTACTCCCACACAGTATGGAAGATCAGAGCAAACGTAGTTCGGGAAACTACGGGTTATTTCCTGTTTTACGAAAGAAGTGTTTTTTTATTGTGTTTGCGATTTCAACCGCACTAGAGACTATGACCTGAGAGTGAATGCGTCGCATGTCACCCAAAGGGTACCATACTAAACATCCAGACTGTGGAAAAGAAACTCTCCCACAATCCTTTCTCAGATAGCTTAAGGCTCGTAACGTACGAAAGAAATCATTCATGATTACTGTATCTTAAACTATTTTGAGATGAGAAGAGAACAGGCCCAACTAGGAGGGAGACTATCATGTCCTACTGTTGTCATGCCATGGATTCATCCTATGGTTGAGGTTTGAACAGGGAACTCCTAGATGTTGTCATGCATAGGTTTCAACCTAAAAGTCTATCATCAAATCCTCATCAGAGGAAATGAGAGTCCTAAGGGATCATGTCAATGATACACCAAAACAGACAAAGCATCAGCTTAACAGTAAAATGCATGCAATGCAAGT